AGGATTAGGGTGATACTGCCTCATGTATATAATACATGAACAAAAGAATTCTTTCTAATGAACTGTGAAATCATGACATAAGAGGGTGGCTGTTTACCCACTTAAAATGCTTCAGGAGGCAGTATAGTGACATCCATTACTTCATGCATCTATTGCTAATGATTACAAATGTGTTTTGTGGCTCACTTCAAAGGGTACAACAGTATTTAGTAATTCAACCTACAGGTGGCATTTCCTGTAGGTATTTTGGTTTGGTAAATTTCTACTTGGCCTTCATCCAGTTTTGATTGTCTAGCAAGTTGTGGGAGACCTTGGTTTTTAACAGCTTTCAAATTGTTTATGCTCTTTAAAGAATTATTGGATATTAGGGATGAGGACATGTCTTCATCTTTTGCTTCCCTGGACAATTACTCATTTCTATTCATCATAATATTACCATCTGCTTCCATGAGTATAAAAAGCCATGGAGGGAGGGAGTCAGAAAGGTCTTGTTTGATAATAGTCATTTATGGCCTTCTCTCCTTGTAAGAAGGCTAGGAAGGCTCTGTGACCTTCACAGTGGAAGACATTTAGCCACAGAAACAATGTGAGTAGAAAATATAAGCAGAGAGCCAAGAGGGAAATTTAAATTTTGACTTAATTTTTACAGGAGAGATCAGGACGTGACTAAGCATATCGCCTGAGCTTGCTTATGAATAGCCAAATAGACACAGACCTAGGATCCTGCTGGAGTTTTCTAACCTCACCACTCTTGTACCTGCATTGAGTATGGCCATTCTGAGAACCTCAGTTCTTTTCACGTAGGCTTACAGAGGGCAGACAGGATCATGTTCAGTGTTCATTCTCCTACCTCTCCCACTCCAACCACTCTGGTAACCCTCTGAGTGCCTCACCCTTCCTTTTCCTAGTAAACATAGTGGATGCCACAGCGTATTCCCTGACAGGAGTCCTGTCTGAGAGGCCACCTGGTAGTAGTCAGCACCAGTGCATGGGCCTCTGTTTCCTCAGCAGTGACAAAATGTAGGGTGGTAACAATCTGCCTTTGCAATGATTGGAGAGCAGTGACTTACTCAAGCCATGGATTGTTTGTATGTAGATGTGGACCCAGGCATCCAGAAGAGAGACAGCCCAAGAGGCCAGGAGGAAATAAGATTGGACTTGTTTAGAAAGGAGTAGGAGCATTGAGAGGGAGGTCATTGAGGAGAGGCGGAAAAGCTTTCAGTGGGAAGAACTGCGTGACCCAATACAGAACTTAGAATATTAACAGTAATAGTAGTCCTTGAGCCCTCATGTCACGCAAGGCACTGTGCCACATATTTGACATGTATTATCTCATTTAATCTCTTTTTTTTTTTTTTTGAGACGGAGTTTCGCTCTTGTTACCCGGGCGTGAGTGCAATGGCGCAATCTTGGCTCACTGCTACCTCCGCCTCCTGGGTTCAGGCAATTCTCCTGCCTCAGCCTCCCGAGTAGCTGGGATTAGAAGCACGGGCCACCACGCCCAGCTAATTTTTTTGTATTTTTAGTAGAGATGGGGTTTCACCATGTTGACCAGGATGGTCTCGATCTCTTGACCTCGTGATCCACCCACCGCGGCCTCCCAAAGTGCTGGGATTACAGGCTTGAGCCACCGTGCCCGGCCTTTAATCTCTTGATCTGCAGTCCAGGGCTCTACCTCTGAGTTATACCTTCTCCTTCATTTAGCCCTATAGGTAAGTGCTGTTATCATTCTCATTTCAGTGCAGAGGAAAGAAGCTCAGGGAGGTGAACTGATTTGCCAGATATCACAAAGTTCATAAGGGGCAGAGGCTGGAGTACATCAGATATAGCTACAAAGAGGAGGAAAGGCTGCCCTTGCTGTCACCAAGAGTTTGTGCCATATAGAGCTGCCCTGCAGTAATAACTTAGCACAGTTGTATAGTTACAGAAGTGTAGAGCTATAAAAAAAGGGTTACCTTTATAGCATTTCCCTAGTTTAGTGAAAAAGCAAGTATTGAACTCACAATTTCCGGGAGCCACAGTGCCATATTGTTGAAACATTTGAAATTCATTTTCATCTCATTCCCCAGAAAAACCTCAGTAATATCAATACATCAGCAGGCACACACACACACACACACACACACACACACACACACACACACTCTCTCACTCACTAACTCACGAGAAAAAGAGATTTATTGTGAGGAGTTGGCTCATTCCAATTATGCAGGCCGAGAAGTCCTGCAATGTACAGTCTGCAGGTTGGAGAACCGGTAAAGCCAATGATGTAATTTAGTATGAGTCTGAAGGCCTGGAACCACAGTTGTAAATCCTAGTCCAAGGGTAGGAGAAGATGAGCTGAGTTGTCTCAGCTCACCAGTGAGGCAGAAAAAATAAGAGGTGACAGATGCCTCCTTCCTCTGGCTTTGGTTCAAGCCCTCAGTGACTGAATGATGCCCACCCATATGGGGAGGGCAGGCTGTCTTATCAAATCCACATGCTGATTTGCATGTGGATCTCAGTCAGAAACACCCTCACAGATGCATCTAGAAATGTTTATTCTGGGCATCCTGTGGCCAGTCAGATTGACACATAAAATTAACCATCAGACATAAATGCACTGGATGCCTGTGATCTGTTAAGCAAAACCAAAACCACATTCTCCAGGGCACAGCTCGGGGTGTCCTTCTCACTTTTCCATATTCAGGAACAACTGAAGAAGGTGGCATATCCAGAGACAAGATGGAGTCAGGATGATGGAGAGGATGAGGCTGTAGACCATGGAGGCTGACAGACCATGGACATAATCCCAGTGCCTTAATTTCTTCATATAGAAGAGGAGGAGGATAATGCCAATCTCATGGGTGGTAGATACAATGAGAAATGAGCAAAACCTCCAAAGGTGTTGATGCCTAAACATGCAGTACATTAAATGCTCAGTAAATTTTACAGAAGGAGTGTTGCCCGTAGAATCAGTTTATTCCTTTGTAAGTTTGGTTAGAGGTGTTTCCAGATTCAGCCAGAGCAATCCAGTGGGTTGGCCCAGGAGCAAGTTCTGGAGCTTAGAGTTCTGACCTTGCAAGACTACTGAGTGTTCTCACCACTGCTTTTCACTCCATTGTTAAAGAGTCTCATAGAGGGAGAGCATGTTCACACAACCAAATCATATTTAGATACACAAAAGTCTGATAAATTAGGGAAATATTGTGAATTGTCTAATTTATAAGTATTTTCCATTGGCTACCTTTAGATAAGAAGCTTTTTTGTGCTTTAATTCTTTTTCCAATTAAAGAGCATACATTTATGCAGACCAGTTTTCTAATCTGCCCTCAGCATATCTAGCCAATGTTATTTTTAACCACCATTATTTGGCACATCATTTAATAGAGGTGGGCTGCTCATCTCCCGGGCCCCTTCTATTTTCTGTGAAGTTCTCTTCTCTATACGCTGAACATTTAAATTCCTCTTATTGGAAGCATCCCTTCTTCCTTCTGTCCGATCACATCCTCCCTTTTCTTCAAGTCTCTGTTTAAGATCCATGTGTCCTAAGAAACCCTCATTGTGGGCCTCAGTCCTTTCTACTTGCTGTGGTCTTTCAGAATAGCATACGATACTTTCAAAATCTGTAGAGCTCCAGAAAAGCCTTCATCACTAAGCAAAGTGACTATAGCCCAAAGGTTCTGACTATCTGCCTGGCTATGCTGATCAAGAGGGACTGAGGCAGGTTTCCTATGTCTTGGTGTCTGGCACAGGTTTTGGGGACAATTGAGATGCTGGAAATCATCAGTATCATGCCATTAGGAGATGGAAAGTCACCAAGAGCGAAAAGAAACACAGCATGAGGGCATGTGCAAAGTTATTATTTACTCAGTAAAGGTCATATAAGAAATCTACACCAGGGAAGGTCAACAAGGGCAGTGCTGTACTCTTTGATCATCATTTATCCAGGGAGCTCTTGACTTTTTTTTTTTTTTTTTTTTTTTAAGAATAAAGCCGTAAACATTTTGGAAATGTACCTGTTTTCTGTGGTTTCATTAAATTATACTTAAGTTCATTTTTCATGTGAAAAATGAGCTTTAGCTTCCATATGATGAATCATTTCCTCCTGTGTGGCAGTGGAGGAAGTTAATTTAGCACTGCTGTAGTTATCCTGATTGTCTCCTACTTTATTCTGGGACTGCTGATTAATAGGATTACATTGGAGTGATTACAGCTGCCAATTTGTTTATCCCATCACTGGGGTCAGCAATGAGGATCTTATTTCATGTTTCTCTGGTTCTGAAACCTGTTTTGTCATGTTTGTAATGTAATAAACTTCTGCTGTATCATCACCTCATCACCCTATGTGGTGTTCAACTAAGCTAAATGAACTCCCTCGCCATCCATGTTGTGGAAATCTGAGTCGTTTGTTCACAAAGTACTGATTAAGCACCAGTGGTGAGCAATATCTTGTACTGTGCTGAGAAAATCAAAACCATTGCACTAGACACAGAGGGGGAGACCAATTTATACTTTGGAAACCTGATGAGTGGCAAAGCGTAAGCAGTGGAAGAGGGGGAGGTGAAATGATAAGTGATTGATACCTATCTAGGCTTCGGTATCATCAATAATAAAGCAAGTAATTAGGCCAAATAATGTTTTTCTATTTATTCAGATTGTGGAACACTTTGCCATTTTGTGGAGTGTCAAAAAATACTGACACTTAGTTCCACTATGTAAACTAGGAGATATATTTTATAAGTATGCATATGCTGTATGATTCTGAGCATGGCATACTTGAAAACATGAGCTGCTGTGTCTAGGGAGCAGTACTTCCCTTAGGCCTGGGCAAATGGGGCCTCTGTCCTAGGCCTTATAAATTGGGATGTCTTGTGCCTTGACTATGTCTTCTTTGAAATGTTCTGAATTTCCCTATGATGCCTGGAATGGTCCCGGGGTTAGTAGTGCCATCTAGTCAGGGTGCCCTGAGTCTGGGTTGGAACATGCATGGACCTCAGTCTCATTTTTTTCTTTTGGAGGTATTTGGAGCTCTTCATCACACATGACAGATTAACCAGATATCCTGAGGACCTGTGGAATTTGCACCTGTGGGAGCATCCCAGGGTTCCATGGCTGGACTCAAATGGCAAGACTCTGGTTTCGAAGAGTAGTTTGGTAAGCTGATCACTCCTGCAAGCCCATGTTATTTCCTTTGTGAGCTTACACAAGACTGGGCTACCAGCATGGTGCACATGTGATTGATGTGATCAACTCTCACATATGTACACAGGATGAGTTCAGAGTCCTGGAGTACTCCTGGTAAACTACTATCCCTTGGACCTGAGCCATGTATATGGACCCATGTATTGGCTCTTGCTTACCCCTGTTGTGACCTGCAGAGTCATCTTTGGTCTGCAATACAGAAGGCAGCAAGATTGGAGACAGATGTCCTTTACCTATAAGCCCCCCCGCTGCTGACAATAAGGAAAGTTGCCCCATCCCCTCCATAGTTTCCATTCTACGTGTTAGGCCACCCCTGGGAGTGGCTGCACCTCTTTTTCTGATAAGCATTTTCAGACTGTGGCTCTGCAGTGCCACTGGCCTTCCCAACTGATGTCCTCTCTTGCCTCTGATTGATGTGGTGACATCATGCTCTCCCAGCTTGTTCTTAAAGTATGTTGGATAAGTGAGAGATGTTTCTTGCCCCAATGGAAACACTCCTTTTACTCTGACCTGGGTGGCTGTGTGTGGAAGGCAACAGTATGATCAATATTGAAAAGGACCACACTCAAAGAATGACAAGATTATATTCTTAAGAGTTTAAAGAAGACAAGGGATTGGAGGATGTGTTGTTTTCTTTTATACCATACAATTTTGAAGAGTAAATTAACACAATCAAAAAACAAGTTATTTACATTTTTGTGCATCCTCTGAGTGATACCTGCATTTGTAGGCATTGTCAATGAAGCACAATAACTTTTGTGAGGGTCGTTAGAATCCAGTATTTATAGGCAGCACAATCAATGATGTGGTGTCAGGAGCAATAATGTAATCAGCATTACATAAATGGAGTTAGGGAACTAAAGAGGCAAGCAGGCCTATTGTTTTAGAAATCTGAACATTTCTGAAGGGCCATGGCAGTATGAAAGAGCCAACAATGTTACAGATGACAGTAAAGAATATGAACTGATGATTCCTGTACCTGGACAGGAAGAGATGGTGCTTGAACACTAAAAGAAAGCTTCATATGCACTGATTGGAAAAGAAACCAGCCAGGTGCAGTGGCCAACGCCTGTAATCCCAGCACTTTGGGAGGCTGAGGCAGGTGGATCACCTGAGTTCAGGTGTTTGAGATCAGCCTGGCCAACATGGTGAAACCCTGCTCTCCTAAAATACAAAAATTAGCCCAGCTTGGTAGTGTGTGTCTGTAATGCCAGCTACTTGGGAGGCTGAGCCAGTAAAATTGATTGAACCTGGGAGGCAGAGGTTGCAGTGAGCCAGTATTGCACCATTGCACTCCAGTCTGGGCAACAGAGCGAGACTCTGTCTCCAGAAAAAAAAAAAAAGAAACCAGTATGTATCTCTTTTCTACTCATTATTCTGTCCTTTCATTGAAAAATCACTATACTTTATATGAGCCCATGAATTCATATTACATTTTAAAGATCAAACTGCTAGTATTAGACAAGGCCCTGCAAAATTAATTGCCAAGTGCCCCTCACTTTCTAGTGATGGCCTCGTTGGGTAGGATACTTATTAGTGGTACTCAGGAAATAAGATGCTCTCTGTGCTGCCCATTGGATAATTTGTTTTGAGCTTGGACTCAAAGCTGGAATTAATTCTCCCCAACAAAAAAAGGAGAGGAATGTGAAGCACCCTACTTCTCAGCAGAAAGAGAAAACAAAAGAGGAAGAAGATGAGGGATAGAGAGAGGAGGAGACACATGGAAGAGAAGCCTGCTCGGCTGCAGACAGAGAAGAGAAATCACTCCTGGGATGGGAAGTTCTTATTTATCTAAAAACTGGAGGAAAGCAAATTCTTGTAAGTAGAAGAAGAACATGCTATATTTTAAAATATCTGCATTATGTAGTTAGGAACACAGAGATTCCACATTTTTTGTAACTCGAAACCAAGAGGTTTTAGATAATGACATGTGTATCCATTCCAGAGCAGACTTATGTGTGACAGATGACAATGTGAGAGACGGTGTATAAGGATGGTAGAAAATGAATAATGTGACACAAGGATGAATCCATATTATCAGTGCACCAGGCACCACTCTTGCTGAGGCACTGTTTTCTTTTGTAAGATATCTTATATCTCTGATTGACTATAATTTTTCAAACAGTTATTACAGATTATTTACTCACATTTGCTGCTTATTGTATCTACTTTTTTCTCTGTGTTTGGAGGTTTGCGGCTATTCAAACCAAGCAGGTGCATCCTTAGTATAACATCACTTACTTTGAGTTCTAATACTCTAAGAGGTACATGTTTAATGTTTTTTTTTTTTGTCAGATCAAATGAAAAGGTCCCTTTTGTTGCCTTCAGCATTTCTCATAAGCCTCAGCCCATTTTTTACTTTGATCTTCTAGATTCATGTCAGTCTGTTTTATTTCTCTTAGATTGTATGCTCCTATCCTTTTTAAAATATGTGCCTGTGAAACTTTGTCCCCTTGGGGACCCCCTGTGCAGCCATCTGGGTTCTTGATGCTCTTTCCCTTGCTCTTACTAATTGGAATCATGGGCTAACCCAGGTCTTGTCAGTTACACAGCTGCTTTTTCAACATGTCTGATCCTTACTGCCTTCTTTCCTTCCCAAATTTTTGTGACAAGAATGTTCTCTTATAGAGAAAAAACGAATTCTCAGTAATTAAAGTGTCATAAATACCTCATGTTTGTTACAGTTTATAATATATATATTTGGGTATAGTTTTCATTGAATTCCTTTATTTTCTGCTAGTTTGTTCAGCCAAGTTGTTTACCATCATAAAGGCATGATTGAGGTAGGATGGTAAATGGATTGAAATTGTCAAAGGAATAACTTCAAAAAGGTTTTGGACATTCAAATAAAAGAAAAAGTAAAGAACCTTCGGGTAACTCTTTATAAAACAAGCTCTTTCTCCAAATCACAAATAATTATTGAATATTTGCTACTTTTCCTCAGAGACCTAGAAAGGAAAAATCACAAAACTAATGCCATGGGTGTTTGCAAAACTGGAATTCACTGCAGGCAGTGAGGTAAGGGACACTGTATGGACCTTGGAGGATATAAGTAGAAACTGCAGCCTCAAAAACCATGATCTGTCCCCTGGGATTTCCTGTGGGTGAAGTAAGGGGCATTGTGTGTTGCCTTTGGAGAATCAAAATTATAACAAGTAGAAGCTATCACCTCTGTTAACTTCCCTCCCGACCAGGTTACCTGTCTGACCTCATCTCTTGTTACTCTCTCCCTTGTCTGCTCCAGTCTAGGCAGCCTTCTCCCGGGTCTTTGGAAGACAGTTTTGCCTCAGGATGGCGCAATTGCTGTCTTCTCTGTTCTCTAGGTCTTTGTCTAAGAAATTTGCATTGCTTGCTTTCTCATTTCTTTCTGGTCTTCTGTCACATTTCTCCAGCCAATGTGACCTTTCTTTCCTGTCCACATTATATAAATTGGTATACACCTCCAACATACACACCTTGTATTATTCTTCTTGGTTTTATTTTTCTTCTCTCCATTGTCACATCTATCGTTAGAAATATTTTATTTATTTATCTTGTTAATTTTTCCTTCTCAATCACCAGAGGTAAGCTTTGAAGGATGAAGATTTTTTCTGTTCTGACCACTGCTGTGTCCTCAGCAAGTACAGTAGGAACTGAGACACAGTAAGTCCTCAATACATATTTGTTGAATGAATAAATAAAACCTCAACTAAAATAGGCAGTTGGTTACCTAAAATTTTGCTCTAATTTGTATATATTAGAGAAATAGTATTAGAATATGTTAGACTTAAGGGTGTGTTCCCCCTAATTTAACTTTATACCTTTGTGGTAGGTGTTAGACTAACAGTTAAACAAATAAAAGTCTTTACCCACCATTTTTAAAAGTCTTGCTGAAACTATCTAGCGCTTTTCTTTGGAGGATGGGGCTACTTTCCCTCTGTTGTCTTGGAGTCTCAGCTGAAATCAAGACAGGAGATTCATTTTATATCCTGTTGCATTAGTATTAAGATATTTTTAAATTCATGCTAATCAGCATCGTTGGTATAAAATGGAATAAAATAGTGAAAATGAAGTTGTAGGGAATGTTTCTCCCACGTATATTCTAAAGCAAATAGGAAAGGTTTCCATTTTTATCACCTTGCCTTCTACTCTGCAGCTTTCTAAAAAAAATCTATTCTCCCACAGTTCTGAGCTGAAAATCTAAGATCAAGGTATCAGCAAGGTCATACACCTTTTGAGACCTGTAGAGTGTATTATGCTACTGCTTAATTTGCTAATGCTGCCATAACAAAGTACCATGGATGTCGTGTCTTGTACAGAGATTTATTTTCTTACAGTTCTGGAGGTTAGAAGTATGAGACCAAGGGTGGTTTTTTCAGAAGCCCCTCTCTTTGTCTTGTAGGTGGCTTTCTTCTCCCTGTGTTTTTACAGCATCTTCTTTTTGTATGTGTCTGTGTCCAGATTTCCTCTTATAAGTAAAGCAGTCATAGTGGATTGGGGCCCACCCTAATGACTCATTTTAACTTAATTACCTCGTAATGGCCCTAACTCCAAATAGTCGCAGAGGTACCGGAGGTTTGAACTTCAACACATGAATTTTGGGAGGACAAAGTTTACCCCAAAACAAAGGGAATCCTTTCTATGTTCTGGTGGTTTTTTAGCAATTTTTGGCATTCCTTGGGTTATATATCTGTCACTCCAATCTTCTATCTTTGTGTGATATTCTCTTGGTGTCTCTTCACATCATTTCACAGCTGTGAGCATCTGTTTCTCTGTTCAAGTTACCCTCTCCAAGTTACCTACTCCAGTGATACTGGAGTAGGTCCCATCCTAATGACCTCATTTTAACTTAATTACCCCTGGAAAGACCCTATTTCTGAATAAGGTCACTATATTAGTCTGTTCTCAGGCTGCAAATAAAGACATACGCAAGACTGGGTAATTTATAGAGGAAAAAGTTTTAATTGACTCAA